TAGCCCTACAGCTTGACGAGCCGCCATGCTTACCAAGCTTGTCGGAGGATCCCTTGGGCTTCATCCAAGGCTAGACCACTGTTCTTCCATCTTCGTGAGATCACTTAGAGACCTGCCATTTGGCATTGGGAGGCTCAACCTATCCAAGTCGTAACACTCCCCATAGCATCATCATCATCCAAGTAGAGGAGAGTCGTTCTCCGACGCTTAGGGGTCAAATCCGATATTTTGTAGTTCTTAGTTGACATTGCAAATATCATCGTTCCTTCACTGTCTGTATCTGTCATTGTTATTATTGCGCACACCGCTCGCTTTTCCGACGCTCACTATCATGTTACTATTAGTTTCCGATAACCCGAACCTGATGAACCCCAAAACCTAAAAACATTGGACCCGACACTTTTGCATCAGACATTGTAATTATACCTTCAGACATTGTTTCCCATGCTCGGACTATTTTCCCAGACCGCAGACCCCTGGGTCGAATGCACTTGTCTCACCAAGTATAGCAGACTAGGCAGTGCAAGACCACAACATAAAGATATCAGTTTGGAGCCATCTTTGTATAGCCCCACTCTGTGTTGTATTCCTACACTGACCATGAGCATATATAAAGGTGTGGTTTCATTAAAAAATGAAATTTATCATTGGCAGGTTTCAAACCTGCAAAGTCCAAGAGAAACAGATTTTGACTCTGATGATCACTTGACAATTTCATCTATAGCAGGTTTTGAACCCACACAGACTGATTTTGATTCTGTTGTATGAGCTGCTTGGCTAAGAACAGTTGGAAGTATCTTTAAAGAAAACATTCAGAAGTGAATTCGCAAGGCAAGTCCACATTTTCTGTCACTCACAATGTTTTCCCTCAGCTGAACAGATGAATTAAATATAGACTGCAATACAGCACTTTCAAAAGCAAGAGGAGAGCAATATGATGATGCTTTTCAAAGGGTCTCAAACACAGTGCACCTCAATCTTATACATGAGCAAATAGTGGTCAGATGGCTCTTTTGATTATTTGCCTTGAATCTCAGCCTTGACAGATGTGTATTCTTCCTCATTAACCAGTTCATTGGGATCAAACTTGAAAGTTTGATGTGTAATCTGCTCTTCTTCTTCAACCAAGTCAAGACCTTTGGAGAGAATTAAATTGCTCTTGTGCTTATCATTCCAAGTTTGCATCAAGACTTTGGTCATATATTGAACTTTGCATCCAAGATAAAAGAATAAACAGCGACCATGCTATCAAAAGAACTGATAAAATGCAGTTGAATGTGCCTTGAGGATTGACCTCTGAATGAGTTCATTAGAAGTACATCTCACCGGTCTTAGTCAAGCAGTTGATACAACAGAATATAAATCTGTCTGTGTGGGTTCAAAACCTACCAAGGATCAAATTGTCAAGTGACTACCAGAGTCAAAATCTGTTTCTCTTGGAATGTGTAAGTTTAAAACCTGCCAATGATAATATTTTGATTCTATGAAATTGCACCTTGACATTTCCTCATGATTGATATATGTTTTTTTTCCTATTAGAACACACCTTGACATCGACTCATGTGTGCTTTCCTGAGAGCTTCATATCACTGGTCTTAGCCAAGTAGATGTTGCAACAGAGTCCAAATTTGTTTCTTTTAAACCATGCAGGTTCAAAACCTGCTTGCAAAATATTTTGCAGTATATAGATTCTCAGAGACCAAAGTGCAAGAAAATAGGGACAGTTAGACATTTTGAAGTATTCATCAAAGTGATATCATTTGTGTCTGTTTTATCTTTTTCAATGCAGCCCAGGTGTTACTGCTTTGTACTAGGTTTGCAGCAGAATGTAGCAAGAATGCTTCTCTTGCATCTATACATTGTGGTCTATAGCTGGGAGTATCCTTCAGCATGACATAAAAATCAAATGATGAAAATATACTAGTAGTATTAGATTGGACATGTGATATAGGGCATGCACAAAAATGCAGTGCTTGATATGGGACAGGGTGTGATTTCATAAAATAAAAATGTCATCATTGGCAGATTTCAAACCTGCCCAGTCCAAGAGAAACAGATTTTGACTCTAATGATCACTTGCAATTGCATCTTTGACAGGTTTTGAACCTGCACAGACAGATTTGGATTCTGTTGTATTAACTGCTTGGATAAAACCAGTTAGAGATGCTCCCAATGAATCCATTCAGAAGTGAATTCCCAAGGTACATTTATCCTGCATTTTGTCAGTTTTAACATTAATTTCCAACATCCCCCTTGAGCCCAACCATATGCAATCCTTCCATTGTCAGTTGTCACTCAACCTGCCAATGATGATATTTTTATTCTATGAAATTAAACCCTGATATTTCCTCATAGGTAGTTTTCTTCAAAACCCATCATAAATGCTCTTTCTACATCATTGCCACAATAGATTTGGGATATGTTTCGATCAAAGCCTACAGATTTGCAATTAATGGCAAAACAAAACCATGTTATTATACAGGTTTTAAGCCTGCTTGGTTTAACAAAGATATATATAGGAAATGTCCATGGGCAAATGATTACTCAGAGGGATTTAGGAGAGTGTGTAGAGTTCAAAAAGCATGCAGACCAGAGTCATGGCAATGACATGGCTAAGATCATTTAAGATGAGTTTCTCAGAAGACCAGGTGTGTTTTTATAGAAAATAAAATATATCATTGACAGGTTTCAAACCTGCACAGTCCAAGAGAAACAGATTTTGACTCTGATGATTACTTGGCAAATTCATCTTTAGTGGGTTTTGAACCCATGCAGACAGATTTAGATTCTGTCATATCAACTGCTTGGCTAATACCAGTTGAATGCACTTGCAATGAACCCAATTAAAAGTGAATCCTCAAGGCAGTTCTTTCAATAGTATGGTTTCCATGATTTATTTTTTTATTTTACTCTTATTGCAAAAAACATCAGACTTCTTCTGGGGCTCTTGACTTCAAGACCTGTTTATCTAGCAATTGCTCTGAAAAAGTGCTGATCACAGACCACTATAGTGGGCCGATGATGTTTGTGATGTCTCGGGATATTCACAGTTGGATCATGAGTGAAAACTGACAATGGAAGGATCACATATGATTGGACTCGATGTAGAAACAACAATACTGAGAGGAACAAAAGATGCTCCTAACTGTATCTAAAAAATGTCGTAGGTCGAGTGTTGCCTAGTCTGCGTTACTTGAGGAGACAAGTGCGTTCGACCCTAAAGGGGAAGTGAGTGCAGCAAAGATCTAGAGGTATGCGCTGAAGCGCAGGTGCGCGCAAGGCGTGGGAACACGCGCGGGAAAGCGCGCACGCATATGCGGAAATGATAGACTATGCCTAAGTGATGATATAAAACAAGATAAGAGATGTGAGATGTGATGTGCTAATGAATAGGTTTCTACTGCGACTTTCTAGGTATTAAGTAGGTAAGTAAAGATGGGTGAAAAAGTTCAGTGAAGTAATAGTATGTACTGCTGGCGCTTATATAGCGCGCCTAAGCGCAGTCATGCGGAGCCGAAGCGCTACCGAGTAGGTATGTAAAAATATATATATGTGAGAGTCCATGATAAAAATAAAGATGGAATAATATGCAATGAGAGAAATAGAAATATACGCACTAGGGAGCTTGGTGGACAGTGGATGGATGCATCTGGATGGCTGGCACTATAGGGCGCGCAAGCGTGGGAACGCACGCGCGCCTATATGTCGCGAAGTGCGGGGATGGTGCGCGTTGCGCGGGAAAGCTGCGCGTCATATAGAGATAGCTGTGGGTAGTGCACAGAGTGACGCTACAAGTTCGTGCTATGTACTCCTTAGTGAAAACTGCCATATCACGCCATGAGAGGCATGATTCTCTACATCGAGGATATTGGAAACTAATGCTAGAACTGTGTTGAAGGTGTTTCCAAGGTGTGTCCTCAATTGACCGTCATTGCTGGGCTGCCTGGAGATATTCCCCAGTGCCAAGGTTGCCATGGAACAGTACAACGTACTCTGACATGTCCGGTATGTGTTAAGACCATGCACAAAGGGTAGGACTGATTCAAAGGGGCTTGGCTTCAGCTCATGTGCTGTCCCCCTCACCCAAGTATGTGCCCTTAATTTCAGAATGATGTCTGGAGAAAGTCCTAGAAAGTCCAAAAGACTTCTAGAGGAGTGTGGGAAACTTTGGCAGGACTTTCTGGACGAGTGTAAGTAACTTCCGGATGAGTGCGGGAAAGTTCTGGAAATTACCATGGGATTTTGTCCTGATACAGAGATGTGTAATGGCTACTCAGGACAAGTCCTGAGTAGAAGCAAACAGAGGAAAAGCTGCAAGGACAAAGGCCAAAGCAGAATAGGTCCGGAGGAACTTCCAGGAACTTGGAGGAATGGAGGAGCAGAAGAGCAGAGCTCTGGCCTAGGAAATTCCTTCCCAGGCCTGAGATGGATATTGACTAAGTTGGAAGACTGGAACTGATGTGAAGACTTAGAGTGAGATCTAGTGCAAGGACTAATATGATATTCAGACTCAGGGAGTACAAAGTTTCTACAGTGTTCATATACTACTGAGGATTTAATGGAGAATCAGTCAGCACAGTCTGAAGCTATGTGAGGCTATGGACGGAGTGTATAGAAAAGTCAAACACTAGTCTATCAGAAAATAGTAAATGTAGATGGAAATGAGAACATAGGAAAATAAAGGCAGAAATGAAATGAGGTATGGAAAATGAGTATAGTCTAACTCAAGAAGGAATGTACAAAGAGAAAAGGCATGGAAGATAGACGCGGGTCAGATCCAGATGTTCGGAAGTCCGGAGCCAGGTGATTACCATAAGGGGATGAGCGCTGTTTTAAGGTTTAGGTTCGGATATGAAGCATAGGTCAGATCCGGAGATGTAGATATCAGATCTGGCATCCAGATATCAGGTGCAGGAGTACAGGGATCTGGACGGATAGAGGATTGGATCTGGAGACATGGACAGGAGGTCTGGAGGTCTGGATGAGGCATGGGAATATTGTCAGATGTAGGTCTGGAATGCAGGATATGACAGTATGTCTGGATCATCCATCTCATCTGGATCCTCAATACCTCCCTGTCACAGCAGCTCTACTTATATTTTCAGATACTGTGGAATTGCTAAGATGCATAGCATGTGCTGTGAGAATGGGTGTCTTTATGACAGGGATAGAATCAACTCTCTCTGGATAGCCAAGTTGGTCCTTGAACTGATGAAAGTATAGAGGACTGTGATTGATTAGGTCAGAAAGCATTTTCGATGAGTTAAAGCAGTCTCCATGAGACAAACCAGCTGCATTCAAGGAGTCTAGATGCAACCACAGTAAGTCCTTCTATCCTCCTTTCATTATGACAGTTGATAAATTGAGCTCCAGGTTGAGGGGAGACTTTTCCCACAGTGTCATTGAGCACCATAAGTCTTTGCATGTGACACCATGCTGCAGTGGAAATAGCAAACCAGAGGTGAGGTGTACCAGCATGTCTTCAGATTCACTGACAGTGTGTACTGTTTTTTTTCAGGTTAACATTGAAGTTATCATATGCATAGGAAGCAAGCAGTGTTCAACCAAGGGCATGAATAGCACAATGGAATTCTGCAGATAATGACAGTACAGCTGTGTTTATTGTGTTGACAGACACACTGACACTCATTCTTGATAGTGTATTGATAACCTTTTGAGGTGTGTGCATGGACTGCAGGAATACGCCAACAATGCTCTGCAACATATTCGAATTTTGGCTCAAGCTTTGCATCAATATACTCAGAATAACAACCTTTTTCTGCCAATGTGAGTTCATGTTACGACAATAGTCGTGTGCGGGCTGGGGTAATCTTAACAGCGACGATCACAACAGTGATACCTCGTGCTGAGAGTCCAAGGTCGGCTCCTACAGACAAGTAAGAGTTGTGTATGCTAGCAGAGGCGAGCGATGATAGCGTTTACAGACAGAAGGAGTCTCGAGTCCTTCTGAAGGTGCGAGTCGGATGTCAAGCAGGTAGCTTTAGCAAGACAAGGAGTTCAAGGTAAAACCCAGTAAGATTAAAGTAAAGAACATCTACTTTAATCTTCAACCTTATATAAGGCTACTCTATCGTATCTAAGCTCAGCTTGAAGCTGGGTTCTAATCTGCTTATCTATTGAGTTAGAGATACCATGCATGAGGCAGGCTTCTATCTAAGATAAAGACCGCGAGGCGTCCTTCTATCAGTACATGAGGCAACCATGAGGCTTTGCCTTCTATCTTGATAACATGAATAGGTCATCTAGACCTGTGTTGTCATATGCAGTCCAGACTACTTATCTAAGCTGGCATCTTCCGGGCTTCTCTCCTAATCATCATCTGTCATCAAGGCCTAAAGGCCTGGGTATCGTATCATTGCCGTGCAGGGTGGCAGAGGGCTATCTGTAGCTAGGGGCTCACATCATGTTACTGTAACAGTTCACTTGAATTCTGTTCATTTTCTTTGATTCAATGTATAATTCTAGTCAACTTATTTTAATGTGCTATGATCCTGTCCTTTTTCTTCAACACAGCCCTCTCCAGATTAGTGATGTGGAAGTCTGGTTCAGTCAGGTGTAGAGACTAATATCTCTGTGGGCTTGTAGATTCCCCATTGCCCCAATCACTTCCAAACATAGTGATGAACTACAGGCACTTATATATGTCTAAAAATGTGCTCCTGAAGTGGAGCTGAAGCGAGTAGGTAAAGTATGTAATAAGGATCCATGACATGAGAATTGAGCAATCATTACAATATAATATGGTCTGATATGGATAAAATGATATGAACACATACCAGTGAGGTTAGTTTGGACAATAGATGAATGTGTGACATGGGGCACTTTGAGTGCGGGAAAGTGCACCTAGCGTGCACACGAGAGAATGCAGTGCTTGGGGTAGCCGATGTGTGGGAAGGTAGTGCATGCTTGGTGCAGGAGAGTTTCACTTCGCATAGGGAATGGTTGGAAAGATATTGGCATAAGTTGTGCATCAAACTGTACTTTGAGACGGTCACATATATAGCCTTTGCAAGGCCACAGAGATATCAGTCTCTACACCGGTCTCTTTCGCTGACAGTATTTGTACCTCCCATGCATATCTCCCTTTAACCATTTCAGACTAGACCATGAGAAGTTCTGCAAGTTGCTATCCATATCCTCTTAGATTGATTACTGTCTCGTTGTTGATGTAATAATGATCATTTAGCAGCTTGATAATAAATTCTGATGGTGAGATCCCAACAATGTCAAAGGATTCCAAGATAGCGTCAACTTGATCAGTTGTCTCCATTGAGTGATGCAGTTAAACAATTGGTTTATTTAATGTATATATTCCTTTCAGATAGGTATATTTTTTACACTCCACACTGTGTTGGCAGAGTTTAGCCGCTGTGGCTGACAATGTTTACAAGGCAATGCCATTAGGAAATTCAGGAGTCACTGGTATGACTAGACGGAGTTTGAAACCCTTCATCAGTCAGGTAAGACTCAATAAAATATTATAATATGTTGTCAAGCAAACATCAAACTGATAGAGGGGGATCAAGACTTTGTCAGCCAGTCAGGTGATAGTTAGGCCTAATAATTGGTTATCAGACAAACACAAAATTGATGGAGGGTGATCAAGTCTTCGTCGACCAGCTGAGCAATAGTGAGACTCTGTAATGATTTGATAAAATATTATAATGTGTCGTCTGGTAGTCAGACCTAATAATTGGTTGTCAGACAAACAACAAGTCTCAGGGTGATCCAACTAGCTGAGTGATAGTCAGACATTGACTCGGTAATCTCGGACAATACTTGGTTCAACAGATGGGAAACTTGGCAGATATTTGTGCCAAAAAAGGCAAGTATGCATGTACTAGCATATAAGTAGGACCTTCAACTCGATCATCATCAATGTTGTATATTACAATCCTCAAGTCTACATACAAGGGAAAACTACTTTTAAGCACAATCAGAACCCAAGGTAAGTCAATTAGCGAAGTATCATGCTGCCTACTAAATGCTATTAGCCAAGTACTCAACTGAAACCTGTTGTGCCAGTGATACCAGGACCTCTGATCATAAATGAATCAGCAATCATACATATGCATAGTATTCGGATGTCACGCTAGACTGACATTGTATTAGGCGATCTGGAATACCACTATAGAATTAGCAAAAGATCGCGTCCAAAACTACCTTTCAATGTTGCCAATTGATCCTATTTGCACTACAACAGAGGAGAGATGCTGAGTTACATTGATGGCACTTAAGAAGGAGGAAGAGTTGTGGGAGAGTTTCAGGGAGCTAGAAAAAGCTTGGTGTGAGCTCAATGAAACAAAGAAGGTGTTAGGGATTGAAAGGAATTAGCGACTGGACGAAGTTGAGAGGGTTTGGGGGATTGAAAAGAATCAGCAGGAGCATATATAGTCGGAAGGTGTCATTGACAGAAGGAATGCCAAGCTTGATGTGTATTCTTAAGATCCTGCAAACATAGTTGCTGTCTATATGTTGCATTAGCCTGGCAAAACTGTAAGGCTAATGTTGAGTTCAGAAGGGAATTGATTGAGAATGAAGTAGATAGGTAATAGGAAGGATGACATTAGAGACGAGAATGCGACTGTCTACAACAGACTTGAGACGAGCTAGACAGAGCAGCTTGTTAGAGACGTTCTGAGGACACATGGAGTGGGGAATCACTGCACCAGATTCTACTACTGAAAATGAGAGTACATGTGCCATATATATACATTTGAATGAGTTGACTAGTCCTGAAGGAGCGTGAAGAGCATATGGAAAGTGAAAAGATATTGGTGAAACAAGGGTATCGTGTAAAGAGAGCACAAGGTGCGATAACGACAAAGAGCAAAAGGAGATGTAAGGAATGTATGAAGGGAATGTATTCACATGACTTGGATGTGAAGCATGATGCTTCTTCACATCAGTGAGTTATGTGGCTTTGTTTGGCTTTTGCAAACTCACATTTCCTATTGGAGCTATGGTTGGGGCGCAAAGAATATATGATCCTTACATCCCCTCCCTACTTCGAATATCGACCGTTCTCGGTCGATCTTCCAACTACTGAAAAATTACTGTATCATCATGCTATAGAGTAAGGTAGAGAAAATTTAGAAAAAATGAATGAAAAATGATAACACATCTAGTCCAGTTCTTTGTCAAGTCCTGTGAGTGCTTGCACATCAATGAATTGAGTAACCTCAATTGAGGTGGGGGAGCTCAGATAATAGGGAATGATGTGGAATGCTGTGAACTTCAGTTTTGAAACAGCTCCATCAATTTCTGCGAGTCAATACGATCCACCATCCGATTGTGATACAATAACCATGGGTCCAAAATATCTGGGCTTGCACTTAGTGTTAGACACTGCTTCTATCTTCTTGTTGAGTATGAATATGAGATCTCCAGGTTTGAAGGCATAGTCCTGGATAGTGTTGGTATAGCAGCGCTGGAAGTCTTTAACAGATGCCAAAAGACTCTTGAGAAGATGTTTGTGTGCTAAGGCTAAGTCTTCGTCTCATTTCGCCAACTGTCTGGCATGAATGAATATTAGGTCTGAAGTTGAGATGATGCTTGATACAGCGGGTGACATGAACATTGCTTCTGTGATGTCAAATGGAAGCAAAGGTTCAAGTCTGTGTGCAAGGAAGAATGGAGAATGATTGGTGGACCTGTGAGTAGTGATACAATCGGCCCAGAATACGTGTGGCATGATGATGGGCCAACAAGTGATATCTCCATTGCATGTTTTGACGAGGGAGTTGTGGATAGTTTGGTGCGACCTTTCGACGATTCCGTTTGCCTTTGAATTGTACACAGATATTTGGATGTGCCGGATTTTGTATTTTGCTGCTAACCAGTCTAAGGCCACAATGAAAGGTGTTCCATTGTCCGTTACTATCTCTTCAACTCCTCCCCATCTGCATAAGACTTCTTTGAAAAAGAACGCACCCAAGGTGCATTCTTTTTCCTTCCTAAGCATCCTCCATTCAGGCCAGGCTGACAGAGAGCAGCATGCTTGCACAATATACAAGAATCCATGGGCTGTTGGCATGTGCATCGAGTCAGTGTAGGCCTTGCGAAATAGAGGTGTGGGGATAGTAACGGTAGGTGGAATGACGACTTTCTCTGTTGATCAAAGCTGGCACTGATGACATGTCTTGATATACCAAGCAATGTCTTTATCTAGTGATGGCCACCAGAATCTATCAGCAATTGTATGACAAGTGGCATAAATGCCCTTGTGTCCAAGTTTGTTGTGGGCTTGCTGTAGGATGCGAAGTCAGTTGGTACTAGGAATTACCAGCTGGTGTCGTCCTGCTGCTTCTTTGCACCACAAGCGATCGCCCTTGACAAAAAAAATGATGCGCATGCTTGATGAGACATGTGCGATCATGGCTAGAGATGGTGGCTGGAAGGGATAGGTTACTGAGGTAAGCTTGGATGATGCAAAGCTCATCATCTCATTGCTGAGAGAGTAGATTGGTAGGAATTCCGATGGCATCATATGATTGGCTTGTGGACTGCAGGACAAGCCATGAATCCACCTGGATTTCCTTGAAAATTCTCTCTAAGTCCTTCTCAATCCAAACTGTGCAGCCTAAAATTTCATCTAACCATTCCTCTACTTTTTCGGAAGTCTCCTCCAATTCTTCATCATCTGTGGGTGTCATGTGTCATTGAGAGAGTCCATCAGGTCCACAATGATTGTTGCCTGGAACATGCCATAGTTTGAAGTGGAATAGGGTGATGCCTACTAACCAACGATTCATAGCAGTGTTCGGCTGTATGTCTGGATTACTAAGCATGCCTTTGATATATTTGGTGTCTACTTTGATGGTAAAGAATTTGAGACCGATTAACCAGACTTTGGCAGCGCAGAGAGCACGAAAGAGGCCATACAATTCTATCTTAGCCTGGGAGTACCTTGACTCTCTATCATTCCTAGTGATGGAGCCAAAGCATGATGAATATTGTTTGCCTTTGAACATTTGAGATAGGATCCAGCTGCAGACTATGTGTGAAGAGTTGACGGCCAGGGTGACTTCTTCTTGCGAGGTATAGTCTATTGGGCAGATGGCAAGGGATGAGCTGATAGCGCTTTTGATAGAATCCATGGCCTGTTGTGCTTCATCATTCCAGATAAATGGAACATTGTTATGGGTGAGGTTGGTAAGTGGACGTGAGATAAGAGCATAGTTCTTGATCCAATTCCATATGGTTCCTGCAGTTCTGAGAAAACCACAAACTTCAGTTCACATTGTGCAAGGCAGCCAGTTGCTAATCTTTGAGACTTTGAATTTGTCTAGTATCTGCCCTTCGTAATTGCAGAGTTGACCGACAACAAGAACTTTGGAAACACATAAAAACAGTTTCTTTGCAGAAATGGTGGCTCCCATGTATTTAAGACGATGCAGAACTCTATTTATGTCAATGCAATGCTCCCAAATGAACCTTCTGATGCCAGGATTCTCAGAAATGAGTTCATATGATGACCTGCACCAAACTGGTTTGGTGCATGGACAACTAATACTCTTCTATGAGTCCTATACTCCAGAATTCACTATGAAACCATTTTTACCTTTGAGCTGAAGTCATACTGAGGCTAGGGAATATTTTTCGCCTTTTTTCTTCATTTTTTCAAGTGTGTATGCAAGCAGCCTGAATATTTTAGTACATTTAATTCTGCGATGAGTTTTGCTTAGTCAGCCATGGTAATGACCCAGACAAAATCCCATGCACATCAGGTGACTGTGAAAAATGTTTCCCACATATGTTGTCCTGGAAAAACATCAGTAAAATCCTAAATACTAGGCTCATGTCATTTTCACCCTTCAAACAAAGCAAAGCAAAGACAGGCACACAAAGGATTTGTATCATGTGACATTTCTTACTCTCTTTCTGGATTTGTCATCAGGAGTTGGACAGGTCACATGACTAACAACAAGCCAGGATGACTTAGCAAAATACCCAATGACTCACTATGACTCACTCTAAATACTTACTATGACTTACTATGACTTACTAATGACTCACCTTGCATATATGACTCATTATGACTCTTGATGACTCTTGAATATACTAGTAGCACAGCCACATTTATTGTGTATATAATGACCCCAGTTTTTGAAATAATAAGTAGCGAACAGCAGCAGATAGTAGGGTGTTTTTCAGCCCATCTAACACTAAGTTGTGAGTAAGGTGTGATAAGTGTCTCAAGACTGAAAGGAACATTCTCAAGAGACAGTAATACTGCAAGCTCATCATACTAAACAACTAGCTGTGAGCTCACTGTGTGCAACAACTAGCAAGCAAGGTACAGCTACAGTTATATTCTGATTTCTATTTTCTTTTTCCTTTTGTTTTACTTTCACCAACCTTTGGTGTTCTTTGTCCAAAAATATATTTCCAAAATATTTCTGTTGTCTCTACGTCCACCTAAGACTCAGAAGTAGCATAGTGGGGAGACTTTAGGAATTGATAGTGAAGCTTGACCTCACTCATCTGAGTAGTGATACTGAGCCAAGATATTCTGTGCCTGCTAGGCTTTAGCTGTTGAAGAGGGGACTTGGTAGTAAACCCAAGGATGTCCGTTCCTGAGTCTGTTTGAATACTCAAAGAAGAGTTCCTTGATAGCAGGTTCAATATTGAGCTAAGAGTTCTACAATAAAGCATTTGACTAGTCTTGACCTTTTATTCTACCTGTTTTGTGCTGAGGGAGTTGATCATTATAGTTCTGCACCAATTCTTTTGGAGTATAGTTTGTATGAGGCACTGTTGTTGAAGGGGAACTTGAGGAAGAATCATGTATATTCTTTTGGTCATTGCCATACTGTCAGGCTGACCATTATTTGTTTGTTTTCCTGTCAAGTCCACAGATTGGATTGACTATCATATCTACTGATCTTGCAGAAGTATCCTTTAGCTGAACATACCTTGGGTAGTATATAACTAGCCACCCATGAATGACCACATTATCAGTCATTGGGATTTGTCTGAATTGCTGACTATGGAGATATTTGTTTTTATAGGTGTTTATCTATAGATCATCTATCTAAGAAGACACCGATGTAGAAACTACAACACAGCAAGGCGTGAACGAGGCTCCAGACTGTATCTATAAATGTTGTAGGTCGTGTGTTGCCTAGTCTGCTATACTTGAGACGACAAGTGCATTTGACCCTAAAGGGGAAGCGAGTGCAGCAAGGATCTAGAGGTATGTGCTGAAGGTGCTACTGGTCGGCCAATGTGAAGCGTGAGAAAGCACAGGTGCGCAGAAGGCGTGGGAACACGCACATGTATGGCCTGAAGCACGGGAAAGTGTGCACGTGTATGTGGAAATGAGAGAGAGTAAGAATAAGCTTGCTTAAGTGATAATGAGATACTAGACAAGAGATGAGAGTGCAAGGTGTCAAGGAATAGATTCCAACTGTGACTTTCTAGGTAGTAAGTGGTAGGTAAAGTTGTGTCAACCAAAAGGTAAGTAATAGTATGTACTGCTGGTGCTTACATATATATGATACCTAAGTGCTGTCATGTGGAGCCGAAGCGCTACCGAGTAAGGTATGTAAAGATGTATGTAAGTAAGGGTCCATGATAAAAATAAAGGTGGAACAATATGCAAATAAGGGAAATGGAAATATATGCACTAAAGAGCTTGGTGGACAGTGGATGGATGCATTTGGATGGCTGGTGCTATAGGGCATTCAAGCGCACGTGCATATACATCGCAAAGTGTGGGAAGAGTGCGCAGGAAAGCTGTGCCTCATATAGGGATAGCTGCGGATAGCACACAGAGTGACACTACAAGTTCATACCATATACTCCCTAGGGAAAAGTGCCATATCAGACCATGAGAGGCATGGGTCTCTACACCAATTTGAACAACTTTAGTTATTACAACTACCACTATCATAAAGTTGACGAAATTTGCTCACCTTTCACATCTTGCTTCTTCCACCACTCCGACTCACCAATATGTCTACTCACTGTATTACCCACACCAAGAATGCAACTCAGCATCCTGGTCTTGCAGACATGGTCCCAAAGAAGAAATGTTGTATGGCTGCAGAAGTAGCTGCTGAGCGTCAGGCTAAGTTAGATGCCAAAGAAGAAAAGAAACATGCCAAGGCTGCTGGGATCAAATGTGTCGCTGAATATGAGAAGAAACAAGCAGACAAGGATGCATCAACCAATACTATCCTGCAGGCTGCAGCCTTACCAAAGTCAAAGCCCTGTCCAAGGCCCATTCCAAAGAAGATTCGTGCAAAACCCTCTCCACCTCCTGAAGATGATGGATTCATTTCTGATGTTGAGATGGACGATGCTGTCATTGACACCAGCGCCTTCAACTCAGATCCATCCCAAGCCTCAGAAACTGACACCCACATGGATGGCTCAGAGCTGAGTGAAACTTATACTTTGCCACCAAAAAAGAAGGCGAGGGTTGACAAACGGGAGGGCAGAAAAACACTTCTTGGTCCCACACCAAGTGGCACCCCTCATAGGATCACGAAAAGTTTCCTATCAACATGGTGCCCAACGGCGTCAGAAGCTAAACCCAAAACCCTATCAAAAGAATCTAAGTCCCCATTATTATCGTTTAAAACTAAAAATACTAGAAAATGGCCACTGGAAAACTGCACAGCATGAGCTTTGGCTCCAAAACACCAGTCTCCAGGAATCCCTCCCCCACGATGCCAGGAGGACCATCTATGAAAAGAACAACCAGATCTTTGAATATCACACTGACCTCACCAGAGATAGAAGCACAACCTAGCACCGTCACAGACGCTGCTAGCGTGCACTCATACCTCAAAAAAAAAGAGTCTCTGCCATGCAACTGAACCTTATACCCTAAACCATATATTTTCGGTCCTTTCACAGATCACACAGGTATCCGGTGTAGAGAATTATGCCTCTCATGGCGTGATATGGTGCTTTACACTAGGAAGTACATAGCACGAACTTGTAGCGTCACTCTGTGCACTACCCACAGCTATCTCTATATGACGCGCAGCTTTCCCGCGCAACGCGCGCCATGCGCGCACCATTCCCGCGCTTCGCGATGTATACGCGCGCGCGCGTTCCCGCGCTTGCGCGCCCTATGGCGCCAGCCATCCAGAAGCATCCATCCACTGTCCACCAAGCTCCCTAGTGCGTATATTTCCATTTCCTTTATTAGCATAGTTCCACCTTTATTTTTATCATGCATTCTCACTCATATATATATTTACATACCTACTCGGTAGCGCTTCGGCTCCGCTTGACCGCGCTTAGGCGCGCTATATAAGCGCCAGCAGTACATACTATTACTTACCTTACTTTTTCCCTTTAACTTACTAGTTACTACCCACTTACTACTTAGCAGAATATAGTAGAAAGCTATTCCTTTACATTTTGCACTCTTATATCTCTTATCTTGCTTTATATCACTACTTAAGCTTAGTTTCTCATTTCCGCATACGCGCGCGCACTTTCCCGCGCTTCGCGCTAATACGCGCGCGCGTTCCCGCGCCTTTGTACCTTGCGCGCTCCTGCGCTTTCTCGCGCTTCGCTTAAGCGCACACTTCTAGATCCTTGCTGCACTCACTTCCCCTATAGGGTCGAACGCACTTGCTTCTCAAGTAACGCAGACTAGGCAGTGCGCGACCTTACAACTTTTACAGATACAGTCAGGAGCTTCTTTTGTTCCTCATTGTATTGTTGTTTCTACACCGGGTCTACACCCTTGCCAGTTATCACCGCCATCAGATCTGTTGTCTTCCTACTCAAGCAACATGTAGTAGACGAGATCACAGACACAGTGGCCCAACAAATCACGATGACAGTAGCACAACAAGTCACGGAATCCATCACTGCAAAACTGGTGGACCATGTGATAGCCGCAATCGCCCCGCAAGTAGCCCGGATACTATCAGCCTCCAAATCTCTTGAAAACTCTGTACAAGAAACTAAACAACAAAAAATGCCATTAGACCACCCAGACGCAGAAACAGAAAAAATAACACAACTAACTGAACTAACGCCCCAAATCATAGACCATATCATGACAGCCATTAATCCTCAAATTGAACAACTCACCTCAACATCAGACTCACTCTCCACCTCACTAGAAAACACCTTGAAAATCCATCAGATGTTAGGAGAATGCATAGACCTAGACTGAGGCATCAATGCAGCGGCAGATCGAATTACTAATGCTACGGACATGATTTACAGCGCCATTGAAGACTGCCATAGCTCTATCAACTGTCTCTCTCCCTCATTAGAAACGACACAGGACCAAATCCACCTTCTCTCCTCGAAGCTCCTAGACCAACAAGATGCTCATCCCCCTCCCCCCACTCCTCCATTTGAAGCCCCAAAACCAGCACTATTCAGCAACATAATGACAGCATGGACTCCAGGACCTACTCATCTACACACCTCATGCAGCTCTCCCCCGAACATCCAAGCCTTCACGCCACAGCCACCCCCAACACAAAGTCCTCACAACAGTAACACACAGCACCAGATACCTCCAATTGATGAAGCCCTGGCTTGGTCTGCTATTTGAGCAAGACAGATCCTATTAGACCCTATAATCGGTAACCCAGTATTCCCGCCCAAAATCAACCACAACAACACTCTAGACAAAATTTATATCGCCATCAAAGCAGCCCTGGCTCCCAATGGCCACAATAATAACATCAAGGCCCTCCTACAGCTACACAACGGGGGGATCATTGTCGAACTAGACAACAAAGAAATAGCGCTCAGACTGTGGGACAATGCCACCCGGAAGAAATTCCTCCACACATTAGACTACTCGGTAACATTTAAAGACAGAACTTATACTTTAGTAGCCCAATATGTCCTAACCAACCTTCTCATTGAATGACCAGGACTCCTCCGACTAGCTGAAGGCAAGAATCACCTAGATGACAATTCGCTAGTGTCTATGTGTTGGATCAAGCCCCCACACAAGAGGCCCCCAAGGCAAATGATGGCGTTTGCGCTGCTACAAGTCAATAACGCAGAGACAGCCAACCAGCTAATCAAGCAAGGCCTTTACATTGATCACCACCTAATACAAGTCAAGAAAGATCGAAAGGAACCAATCCGATGCGCAAAATGCCAATGCTACAGCCACATAGCTTGTAACTGCAATGTAAGTAGAGACGTGTGCGGAGCATCCGCAGACAACCACCAGACAACTGAATGCAACTGCGTACAAGACCCTATGATGTGTCAGTTGTCGCAATGACAACCACGCCAGCTGGAGTCAAAACTGCCCGGAATTCACTCACAAATGTGCAGATCTCAATGTCAAACACCCAGAAAACTCTCTACCCTACTTCCCAACCTGTGAAGCTTGGACTCATGCACTAACTCCCCCCAGAGCAACACAATATGAAAGGACAGCCACAACCCCAATATCAAGCAACAAGAAAGCACCACCTCGATTACGCCAGACTACCCTCACCTCCTCCTCCATCATCAACACAAAAACACCGATCCTCAGACAGACAATGAAGCCTAACCCCACCCAAGATCTCCACCTAACAACCCCACCACCTACTAACAGATACGCCCAGCTTCCCACAGGTAATGATAATGGTAATGACATAGATGACAGCGACAACACCAACAACAGACTTATGACAATAATGTCCCCACTCCCATCATCCAGCATAGCCTCCAGCCCAACCTCAGCCTCACAAATGCCAACTCCAGGATCACCGCCCTTATGGTTCCCATCATCATCTCAGCCACCGTCACCTTCTCCATCAACTGCAGCCTCACCCTCAACAGTAGATCATGTCTGAACACCTGGAACCACAACCTGTTCGACTACAAATCTGGCAACAAAACCCCAACAACTCCTGAGCAGTACAGGAGTCCATCCTCAATGGTCCGATGGCAAAAAACTAGGACATCCTTGCGCTCCAAGAGGCCTGCGAAGATTGCCTCTGAAACATGAAATCTAACCGACAGTGGCACACTCTTTACCCAACTCAACACTATACCCACCCTGAGCAGAAAACCTGGGCCGTCATGCTCATCAGCACCTCACTTGACACCAACAACTGGCAACAACTCTCATTCCCCTCATCCGATGTCGTGGTCGTCCAACTATCGGGACCATTCAGAAAATGTACAATTTTTAATATCTATAATGACGGAAAATGACAGGACACCATCCACGCCCTAGATAACTACCTCATCGCCAACATTGCAAAAGTCCGACCATCGAACAGCGATCATATGATCCGGCTCAGAGATTTCAATCGCCATCACCCACTGTGGGAGGAAGACTGGAACGAACACCTAATCAACTACAATATGTCACAGCCCCTCATCAATATTATAGCTGACTACGGTATGAATCAACCCCTACCCAAAGGACAACCCACTCTTCAATCATCAAGCACTGGAAACTGGACAAGACTGGACAATGTGCTCTGCACAGACCACTTCATGGAGGTATTTGTATCATGCGAAACTAACCCAGCACTATGAGGGCCAAAAACTGACCACATGCCTATCCTCTCCATACTAGAACTAACTGTATCTAGAATCACTCAAGATCACACGTGCAACTACCAAGTGACAGACTGGGACAAATTCAAGGAAGTCCTAGCTGCACGACTAGACACCAGGCCAATTCCTGCACCTCTTCTCAATGATACTGACTTCCAGAATGCTGCACGAGACCTAGCACTAACACTTGATGAAGTCATCTCCGAAGTAGTCCCACTTATGAAACCCTGTCCCCACTCAAAAAGGTGGTGGACTCACGAACTAACCCTCCTATGCTGCCAAGTAAACAAAGCCACTCACACCGCCTTCAAGATGAGAGCCCTCCCCTTACATCCATGTCATGCTGAATTCAAGCACATCCACAATCATTATGCTGATGAAATCTTCAAAACTAAAAACAGCACTGGGTCGATTGGCTGGAAGAAATCTCTGGAAACAACATATGGATTGCAAATAAGTACATTTCCTCCAACCCAACTGATGGCAGCAAAACTTGAATCCCCACCCTCTCCATCCGATAGGCGGATAGCTCCATGCTCGAAGCCACCAGCAATGCCGAAAAGAGTGTCTAACTAGCTAAGTCTTTCTTCCTGCCATGCCCTAACACCTCCTCTGTTCCAGAACTCTATGAATACCCTGAACCCATTGCCTCCATGGTCCCAATCACGACAGACAAAATCTCATGCAACATCAAGAAACTAAGTCCCTACAAGGCCCCCAGACCCAATGGTATCTGCAACGTGATCTTCAAGGAATGCGCAAACCTACTCATCCCCTTCCTCCTCCCACTCTTCAACACCTCCATTGACCTCCGCACCTACTACCAACCCTGGTGTCAATTCATGATGGTAGTTCTATGGAAGCTGGGCAAGCCAGATTATACCATAACCAAAGTGTATCATCCCATCACTCTTCTTAACACCACTTGCAAGCTACTAACAGCAGTAATTGCAGACCAGATGACTTTCTATCTCGAACGTCACCAGCTCCTACCAGCAACTCATTTCGGCGGGAGACCCAGCAGGTCAACCACAGACTCCCTCCACCTCCTGGAAGAAACCATCAAGAATGCCTGGCGGACCAAGAAAGTAGTGTTGGTACTCTTCCTCAATATCAAAGGAGCATTC